AGCTTGAGCTGTTCCGAAACGGGAATTACACAGTAGGGTTCGTGTGGCAACATTTATGGAGCATTTAAAACAAATAAGGCACTCAGAATCTGATCAGACCTTCCAGTCTACTTCACAGGTTAACTATCGTGCAATCAGAAGTGTGGAATCCGAATAAATCTAGCCTAACAGTTCTATGTTTAGTTTTTATGCTTCGAATTGGACAAATCCGGTACCAATTACCGACCTCCGCGGATAAAAGGTTTGTTGGGCCTAACCTGAATTGATGTGGATCATAGATGTGGCAGCAAGTGATGGCTGCACTTCCCATCGCTCCACTTCCGTCGAATACGGAGGGTATATGGGCGGAGGTCAAGATTTAGCAAGTTACCGAGGCTCACTTTCAGAATTGAAAGTAGTACAAGAGTCAGGAGAGCTCAATAAGGCTGAGGAACGATCGTGTATTCCCAATTTCGAATTTTCCATAAACGAAATAAAGTTTAGCTCGCATTTATAATTCAAAATACTTCGAGAGTGTGGATAGTTTCTGCGGAGGACCAGTTGGCTGAATAGACTGAGGCTCACTGAGGAGGTGTCGGCTATTGGAAAAAAGCGATAAAATGAAATTTGACATGAAAAACTCACTAAAGTTGCCAGAAATACAGTCGTTAAGTAATAGAGTAAGGTCACGATGCCCATCACACTAGAGTTTGCCACGTCCATCTGCGCCAGCGCTGAACGACAATATTGAAAACTGAGGCATTGAATGCCGGACGGTTTCTTCCTTTTACTCTTTCTTTTTTAAAAATTTAAAGAGCCTAGCTCACAAAAGGAATATTAATAAAAAAACACAATTTATCTCTAGCAGATAGTTATGAGCTTAGCGCTATTGCAACTCATTCCTCAAGCAATCCACAGGTTGAGTCCTGCCTAGCTTGGAATTGGCCAGCTAAAGGAACCACTTGAAGTTATACAGCACGGCAAGGCAATATCCGCGTTTCCTTCTAGGAAAATGCCTTTGCGAATCGGGAAACTAAACCAATTTACTTCTGCATCGACGTCCGCGGAGTATTATACCTTTGGATTGTACATATCTTTATATTTATCGACAACATAAAATATCTTCAAATACTTATGCTTACGTTAGTAACTGATATGTGTGTTGGAGTCAAAAGTTCCACATTCAGGTTGTTTAGTGCTTGTAACTTACGTCCAATTGGTGAATGTGTATCACTATTATTGAATTTCGTGTTCTCTACTATCTTACTATAAAGCGCTTCGTCTGTCGTCTGTCTGTCGTTCTGTATGTCTGTCACGAAATTCCCTAGCTCCTCGGGATCCGCCTGGAGGGACCGGGTCAAGTGTGGGATGGGTGGGCAAGGTCTCACGAAGTACAAAACACACATCAGCTAAGCGGAGCCCCGCCCACAGTGGGCGTGGCGTGCGTCGAAATGAACTGTACTGACACCAAGATTTCAATTTCAGTGACAAAACAACCTCGAAACTGGGCCAAAAAGTGGGTAAAGGTGTGCATTGGTAAGTCACATCGAATTAGGGAGACCCACCCCGGTGGGCGGGGCGTTCTCCAAAAAAGCAGTGCTTTATGAAAAATTTCATAACTCGGTTGGGAGAAAGCCTACAGAGCAGAAAACAATTTGGTGTAAGGGAGCAATGTCTAAGGTGTTTCCAGCATCTTACATACTATAAAGCGCTTCGTCTGTCGTTCTGTCCCTCTGTCGTTCTGTATGTCTGTCACGAAATTCCCTAGCTCCTCGGGATCCGCCTGGAGGGACCGGGTCAAGTGTGGGATGGGTGGGCAAGGGTCTCACGTAATACAACTACACCATAAAGGCCAAAGCTGAGCCCCCCCCACAGTAGCGTGCGTGCGCCAGACATAAGGTACGCTATACAGAGATTCAATTCCTTAGAAAATGCCCTGAACATGGGCAAAAAAGTGTTAAGTGTGCATTGGTATCACATCGAAATTAGGGAGGCCCACCCCCGTGGCGGGGCGTTTCTCTCAAAACAGCCTTGCTTATGAAAATGAAGGGTTGGCGAAATGAACCGTAGGCCAACGCTATAGGTGGCGAAGAACTGCGCCCTAATGCGCAGTTTACGAAAAGTGTCGGTTGGACGTTGCATGTCCCAGAGACCCGGGGGGGGAAAAAAGGGTAGAGGCGCAAAGAGAGGTCAAAGGCCATGGGAGGCATGCACGAAGAATAGGCGGAGTTCCATCGCAGATTTATTTGTCCGGAAGCAGTCCGGAACCGGGAAAAAGAGGGTAATAGGTTGACGAAGAAAAAGAGGATGAAGCCGCCGTCGTGATGGGGCGATATAGAATTTAGCTGAGAAGTCAGATATTTGTGGTGTATAAGGCCAAATACGAAAATTTTCGCCGCACCATCCATCAAATTCCGATGCAGATCTGCGTTGGCTGGCCCGCAAGATGCCGTCAGCGCCCAACTGGTATAATGTGATATGGGACGGACGGCCCTGCCATACAATGGCGGAGCGCGCTCGGAATGTACCTTTTTAAATCACTCATTAATGCGACCGGTGAAAATTAGCATGAGCGCCGGAAAGAGTAAATATTGTGGTGAACCAGTGCGACCCAAACTCTGTTGTGCTCGAGGCATGGCCCAAGTAGTCCGGCATGCCAAAGTGGCGGGAGTTTGCGCACGCAAAATTTAATAATTCAGTCCAAAAAGCCCCATGAGAAACCGGAGAACAAAGGATAGAAGTGGTGAACGGAACGAGAGCCTCAACTACTAATAGATGGGCGAGCCATTGAAAGTATGCTCGATTCTCCACAGACACCTTTGTAACCCAGTCTGAGGAATGCCGGAGACCGGGACAGAAGTAGCGAAGCGAAGGAACCAATTTCCTATGGTGTGCGGAGGATACACCATAAAGGCAGGATTTGCCGCGCGAAATTATAAATAGGCTCAGAGATAGTTCATACATCGGGTAAAAAGTGAACTAAGGTGCGAAGAACGAAAGAGTAGTTGACATCAAGGAAATAGCGAGTCCACGAGGACTTATAAATCGCTCGGCGGATTCATCAAGAGACTCTGAAAAGCGGACAATTGGTAGGATCGAAAGGAAGCTCAAAGCCATCGGTGGAATGAAGCAAATGGGCAATCGGTATACAATTCAGACTGTAAAAAATCAATTTTCGAATGGTATTCGGCCACTTCACGGCGATCACCGTCCCAATATTCGTATACGTAGCTGTGCGAGCAACGACTGCGACTCACAACGCATCTATTTATACTAGATTTCACTAAATTAACTAATTTTTACTACCTTCACAACTTGGGCGTTCAGCAATCCCCACCATTACTTCAATTCAGAATCATACGGCAGTTGAATGCTGTATGGCTTATCTCATGATTGGGGGAGCTAGCCGATGAGCAGTCCACGTTGAGCAGCTGCGAAGAGTTTGACCTTTGCACGAACTTCTTCCTAGGTGTAAAGCTCAAATTATTCATAACTACCATGGAGGTGATGTGCTTCTACCAATCAGTCATACAATCGCAGCTGGACTGGAAAGAAGAAGATATTCTACTGTAAACGCATGCATAGGCATTTATATTGTAAAACTAGAGGAATTTCTAAGTTTTCCAGGAAAAATGTTTCTGACGCATGTTTTCTGAAACGGTGGACTGTAGTTTCAGTGCATGCCGAATTTATTGAGTAATAAGAAAGCCATGAAACCTTGATACTGATTAGGACACTGCTTTCAGGTGTACCTCTATACTTTTAAAATGTGCTGCATTTTGTTAAAGGCAAACCCCGGGATTAGCCCGACTAGTAGGAAGGATACCACGAGGGAAATTGTAAGGTCCGTACCTACCTAGATCACTCCAGCTTCGTCGCAAAATTGCGCGGTTAGGGCGCTAATCCTTACGGGCCTGCAACCATCGACCCCGTTGCAACGCTTCCCACCCACCGCGATTGATGTAGAGATCAGCGTGCTCTCTCAAACGGCGTCTCTCGCGTGTTTTGTCTTCTTTGATCGCCCTGTCTCGCCATCGTACCACATCCGACCTTACTGAAGGTTAAGGCCTTAATTTTAGCGTTTCCGATGATTTCTCTTGCTTTCCTTCCCACTTTCAGTTCATTCCGCAGCTCAGTCATCACTACGAAGCGCCCACATACACCAGTTTTATCCCGGGCTTGCCTTTAAAGGCAAGATTCAGGAAATTGATGGGTGATTCCACTCAAATGTGAAAGTAGGGATGGGAGGTGGACCGCCAGTGGAGAAAAAAGGAAAGAAAATCCTGAAATACACAGGAAATACGAGCATTTTGCTCTATGCTGTGGAGAAGTTCAAAAGACAGGCAGGGAGATGAGAGATAATGTGAGCGCGGAGAGCGGTAGAGAAGTCCGAGAAGAGAGAGCATAGCAGATCAACGTGGCGACGCAGACAAGATATCGAACGGTGGGCGGACCATGTTAAGTTTGGTGGAGTCTGTTAGAAGTCCATGGCGCCTAGGGTCCTAGTGACGCGTTTCGATGTAGAAAGGTGGCGCTACCTTTGCACTTGCGTACCCAGCACTTCTAGCCATGGTAAGGGCTTCTTAGGTGGGTCTGAGCCCGAACTTTGCCTTTAAGGTATCTGGTTAGATACAAACTCTAACGAACTTATCATTTCAAAACATCTGTAGAAGTGAATTATGCCCTCACCAGAAATAAGTGAAGCGATCACTAGCGGTAGGATCATCAGCTTCAACAGACGCATGAATATCTCGCCAGGAAATTGCAGCAGTGAAATGGTATCCGATGACAGTTCGAAATTTCGTGCAACAAGACCAAATGTGATGCCGACCAGGACCGAGGTGCCAATGCAGACCGTCATGGACGAGGTGCCAATGCAGAAAAATAGCATATTTTCACCAAGACAGGTCCGTGCCATTGTGTACCCTTGAAACCGTAATGTCTGCAATGGATAAGTTCACAAGGGCAAATGGCTAGCCGCACGCTTGTAATTTAATAACTTGAAGGTTCTAAGGGAGATTGAATAACTGAGTCTTTTAACCCTTTGACGACCGTATGGCCCGCCGGCGGGCCACACCAAGTCGGTCGTGTGGGACCGTATGGCCCGCCGGCGGGCCATGGCAACCGATTTCTTGTATTTCCTCCGTTTTGACATTTTTGAAATTCTCAATGACTAAATATGTACACATTGCCCTAACAACGCTATGTACACAGTGGTCCACTGATTGCTTTCTTCTAAGGAGAAACCCTAAGACAATAGTAACAAACACACTTCTATTGCTAATATCAGCAAAAATAGCATCAATTACCAAGAATAAGAACGCAACGCATGTGGTAGTTTTTGAAAAATCGGAGCAGTAGTCCTTGTGCCAATTTTTACCACACTACTAATATTCCTTGCATGATTGAGCGATAGGACCTATTCGTTGCGAGGCTGCACGACAACTGTTTGGTCTTGTGAAAAATATTGTCAAGTAGGTTTAATACAAATAAAGGTGTAAGTAAAACTTGGAGGTCTACCAGGTGCAGCAGGCGGCTGCCTTCAAAAACCCTAACCATACCCAAGGTTCCCATCGAAGTAAATTGGAAGTCAGCGTGTGGCGTGTGGTAGTAACCGTCTAAATAAGTTTTTATTTATCGGCACCATACTAGCTAAAGAAAGAAGCTGGAAGAAGCATTTGTATTAAAATCTAGTCGATTTTTCGAATGCAAGTTTTGTGCAAGAAAACAGATTGTTTTTGTGACTGCTACTTCAACAGTACTATCAAAACACTTATGAATTCTGAGGTCTTTTTCATTAGTCTTCTTCATTACTTCGCTGATAGTCTGTCTGCGTTAGAATGTATGGTTGATTAGTAAGATGATTTACTGTAGAAAGTTTGCAGTTTAGTCAATGTTGCTATAATTTAAGCAAAAAAGCGGTCTCCTGGGACCGTATGGCCCGCCGGCGGGCCACATGCGTGTCTGGCGTGCGGTCCCACACGCTAGACACGTTTAGAGCGCGCGGTCGTCAAAGGGTTAATCAAAAGAAAAAATAAGCTGCTCACGGCGGCGAAGCTGTAAGAATTGGAAGGGATAGCATGTTGTGCCATCCCCACAAAGGCGCAGTTCACGATCAAATTAGAAATCATTCATAAAATCATTCACTCAAATCATTAAAAATCTCGTAGAGATCAAGGTAAAGGTGGTCAGCAGGCATAGGCAAAAAACCTAGAAAATGGCCCACAACCCGACGAGGGGTACACTTTTTCTCCATCGTTGTTTTCCTTCTGGGGCGAGCCTCGTTGGTGTTGACCACCGGTGGTGATCTTATCGTCAAGGTAAATGCACTGCTCTGCGTCTCTACTTATCGGCTTATGTCTGCGACTAAAGATCGACGAGGAAGGGTGGCTAGTCGTAGGCGTGTAGAGTCGCAAACATCGCCGGTTCGGCCTTTCTAGGCCGCGAAGGGAGTATCCTTTGAAAGACGCACACATCGTCTCACACCCTTAGAGACCGCGTGCCTTTCCAAAAGGTATGGTTCCCTTTTTTCGACCTCCGACCCTACTTTGGAACCACCTTTTAACGACGATTGCTTGACCCACACATCATCTGTCGCCCCGTTTTTATGCCTCATTCTAAGATATTCCACGGCGCAGGCGATAGCCTAGGGCTTTTGCGCCACTCAATTTTTTACTACATTGTAAATCCCAATCCGCGACGTCTACTTTTCCTGTTCCATCGCCAAAAGAGTTTGAGCAACAGCGATGTTAGGTTCAAGCAATTCTGGAAAGAAATAAGGCAACGTCGCCTCCAAAAAATTCTAATATCAGCAGCTCGAAGCAGAGCAGCTTTTCATGACCGCTCTAAACACACGAAAGGTTTTGAAACTTCTCTCCTGCTCAATAGAGAACGTATAATAAAGTGTCCTCATCGACTTAGCTAGAATAGCCAGCATTTTGGCTGTTCCCCTGGCATCTCAGAACCGAAATACTTCTCTTCTCTAGTGTGGAGACAGTGAATTCGTCAGCTAGAAGACAATATGGCTTCGTCAGCATTTTCTGTGGCTTAATTCTAAAGATGCCGACACTGGACCGGGTCAAATCAGGCCACAGGAGATGCTTTCGACATGAGATGAATTATCGTTCAAAGGCAGAAACCATAAATCGGAATGGCTTCATCAAGTGATACACAAAAACCGATCTGAGCATGAAGCAGGAATTCGCTTGGAAAGTCTTGTACGACACTACCGTCGAAGATTGCAATCAGCGATAACAATCGTCGCTCAATCATTTCCATTGTCAAACTGACTTTTGCCGCTACGCAAACAAAAACACCTGAAAGAATCTAGTAAGTCCAAGTTTCGGTACATTCGGTACATAATTATTGGACTGTCCCATAAATCCTGTCGGAATCCAACACTTCGATTTATTCAAATCTATCCCTTCTGAAAAACGATCGACCAACAGCGTACCCACCATCACGGTCACGTCACGATAGGCATACATTTTTTAGGGAACGTTTCGAAGCTTTCCGCTCAAAAAAGAGTGAAGCAGGGGATGGAGGAGTTTGAAGAGGTTGTTTTTGAGGTGGTCGCATTCCTTAACTTTCACAGATATTAGTTAAGGGCGTAGTGGAGGCGATAGCTCGATGGAGCGTTGCCAGTTCTATGTATATAGTGGACGCGGTATCGTGACTTTAGCTAACCCCCTTAGAACGCGGCGAGGTAACATTGCAGTGTGAGTCAGAGGTTCCATTTGGAGTACGTGAGAAATTCCTGAGACGGTTTCGCTCTCTGCTCTCGAACACGCCCGGTTTCTTGGCGCGCTTATCCCCTAATAAAACCTAAAAGTCGCTATTCCACGCTGATTTTTCGCATTTCTCCCCTCGATACGCTTAAGTGGTCCCAAAACTAGGCCACCAAAAAATACAACAAACCGAGAGTGATCTTTGCAAAATACGGAGTTCGGGCTTTGGTTGAGCTGGTACTTCCTAGCTGCTAGGTAACCCTAAGCCCGATGTTGTTGTCGCAGTGGACTCATGGCTCATTTCCACTCTTAACCGACTTGGGAAGGCTTTGCTCATGCGGTCGCAGAGTGAAGTCTGCCAACATGGTCAGGCATACTTCTCGATCATGGCCTTTTGAGCTATAAGGTTCCCATCAGATCTTTATTCTGCTGCGGTCCATTGGGCGTGTGCTGGTGCACCGGTTATATTAGACGGAAGAAATTTGAATTCAAGTGGGACGGGACTTATAAGACAGGTTAATTGTTAACGCCATCAGCATAAACACGACATGCCTTCTAAAAACATGTCTGTGAAAATTTCTTCATTTAGCGGCAGCGACTCTGATAAAGATTAAAACCTGAGCGCCTATGAGATGCTTCAAACCCACTGCCGTATATCCACTGCCCACTACATCTTTCCATGTCAATAAAACATTGATCGCACTGAGTCCTCTGAAAGGAGGGAGGCGGAGGTCGTCAAATTTTGAAATGAACGTACGGTTGGCCCTGGTGGCAAGTTATGCTCTCGCCTCTCCCACGACGAGGCCGCTTGTTGGTGGCTAGTTTTGGCTTCAAAGAGCACAACATTGTGACAAGTTTCCTACGGGAAGGGCACCTCAAATGTTCAGCGCCAACTTGTCCGTGGACACATCACTGTTTATACCTATAAGGCTAGTCCGACTTCTCGAAGTTGAGGCAAAATTTTGCGCAGCGCCAGGTGACGTCGGCGGTTCTATTATGGAGATAGGGCCATTCGACGCTCATACCGACCCACCAGCCAAAAATGCGAAACGCGACAAGCCCTACCAGCACTAGAAGGGAAGCAACGGAACCCTCCGACTGTCAGCCCATACATCGATGATAGGAATAAAAACATTAAGAAGCACGATTGCTAATATAGGGAAGGTAACAAAAATTTTGAAATTTGCGCAGTGCACGGTCGATCCGGTTGAGGGTCGTGTCGGGAGTAAGCAAGCCAGCCCTTTTCGCCTTTTCTGCTGGGGCCGTGTACTGCGATGTATTTTGGAGAAGGGCGATGGGTCCAGAACCGGTTGACGAGACTTCTTCAACTGGGTCCGTTAAAGGCGCCTATTTTGATGGGCTTACTCAGGGACTAAGTCTAAAGAGAGGACGAGACCTGCCAGGGGCACATATCCGTCCTATCTCTAAGGCTTAGTCCTGGGTAAGCAAACCAGTCCCTTTGACGGAGCTGCTGGATCTAGCTGCACCACTTCGTCATCACTCTCTTACCGTACCTGACGCGAGTTGACAGTAGTCTCTGCCCGCTCAGCCGACCCTACCTCGCCCAACATGTCAGCATTACTGCCCCATCACCAGAAAACGCCAAAAAGGGCTGGTTTGCTTACCTCGTAGTGTCGCGATCCCCTTACTAAGGGTTGGGTCGTGGAATTTTCGAAATCGCAGACCCCACTATCACCATTCTGTACACTGCTGACCTTGGGTGGTGGGCCCGCCCTTCTTCCTCCTCTCCTCAAGCTGGTGAAATTATACATAGAGTGCATTACAAAAAGTATTGCAGAGCTCCCATGTCCAGCGCACGGTCCAAAATCCAAAATCCAAAAATTCACTTTGATTTATTACAGAGGGTTATTATTCTTGTGGAAAACAAACAGTACAATTTGAGTCTCATATGGCCTCAAAAAAAGTTCTGAGTTGGGCAATATGCAGTAGTTACTTTCCAAGCCTAAACCACTAGCATTTTTGTACTTTACTATCAGCACTTATCTGTTCAATGATCACAATCAAGAAAGGAAGAGATCACAGTCAAGAAAGGAAGACTGGAACATAATTAGAGGAGATTGGTATGGAGGCCCTTTCGGGTGCCTTTGCGTCAGGTGAAATACGGCTACAGACACATCAAACTTTTTATGTAGTCAAAACCAGAAAGGTTTAGTGCTGTTATCCACAGCTACTGACTCACCAAATTGTTGCCAACACACTTACCCCGTGTGGTTGTGCATCAGTTGATCTGTGCCTGCATCCTGAATATTTCAACAATGATGGGTTTATGGTAAAAAGCTCGGACTGTTGTGCCACAAGTTCTCATGGCAAACAAATTTTCTCTGAATTTCGCAATAATAGGCCGATCAGGATGGGTGCAAGTCTCCAGTGTTTTCTTTTGCGCATTTGTTAGCAACAAAATGAATTTACACGACCTCTTTTCACCCTCCGCACATCCGCTTATATGGCAAAAAATGTCATTTTAAATGTTCAGTTGAGCAGTCCCGCGTCCTGAAAAAAGTGCGAAGAAAAGCTGCTTCCTATCAAAATCGCGACACAGGGGTTATTCGTAGGGGGGAATAATTTAGCGGTAGCGGAAAAAATACCAGTTGGCTGCTGCTTCCGGAAATGCAATATTTTAGGTTGATCTTATTGTAATGATGGATTTCGTGGCTAGCGACGTGGAGTAAACCCTTTCAAACTGCGCTAGAGAGAAAAAAAAAAAAGGAGACAAGTAGAAAGGAAGGTTTATTTAGATCAAAAAAATCAACAATAAATACACAAACAACAAAGATCACGGGGCGATCGGAAGCGGGTTGTATCGATGGGACCGGACTACCGAGCCGAGGTCGGCAACCAGGTGCACGGCGCAATCCCTTCTCTATGGTGAGCCGCAAAGTCTATCTCCACCGAGCCACTAAGGCTCTTCCCAACTGGCCACTGAGGCCAAATCACCGAGCCACTAAGGCTTCTCACTCACGGCCACTAAGGCCAGCTATCTGAGCCACTGAGGCTCCACTAACAAGCCACTGAGGCTGTCACTCTTCAGCCACTAAGGCTACCTGACTGAGCCTGGGCCCTCTTTCTTACGGGCCGTACAGCTCACAACCAACTACACACTAAGGCACCACACAGATGCCACCGGAACACTGGAACGCTGGAATCTGGAACACCAGAGCTCTGGAACACCGGAGCTCTGGAACTGGAACTGGAGATGGAGATACTGCAAAGGAACCCGGACCCCTTTTATTGGGACCTTCCCGCGCCAATCGGTTGCCTCTGGCAAGGTGGTCTCCCATGACCACCCACGATCAACAACCACTGCCTCCTCCTTGGCCTACCGTGCTCAGATCAGCTGATCATAGCTGATCTCTTAAGGCATGCCTGTCTCTCCCTGACATGCCCCCCCTCGCTGAAGTCGATGCCCTCATCGACCGCTTGACGCTTGGCCGTGGCAATTCGACCCTGTAGCAATTCTCCTCCTCTCCTTGAATTGTTTTCTGTCTGCATCCATACGTGGGTGCGTTCTGCAACTTTCGGACGCACTTTCTCTTACCGCTTCTCTATGACCCTTTCCAACTTTTGGCTTACTTTGTTCACCCTTCCGTGCTCTTCTGCGTCCCGCATTAGCCGTTTCTTCTGGAAAGGGTTTTACAACCTTCTCTTGTTGAGCACCGTGTACGCCGTGTGCAAAAACTCGTTTGCTAGCCCGAAGAACTCTATCGACCTTCACTGGAATATCCACACTGTACTGCTTTGGCACACGGCCTATCATGCGCTGTGGCACGTATATGCGCCCTACTGTCGTTCTCTTTTCTTTTGTTCTACCTGGATGGCCTCTGCCATCTTCTTCTTTTTCCCCAACTATGGACACTCTAACACCTAATTTATTGAGGGCATTGGTTCCCAATATGATCTCGTCATTTTTACTTGGGCTAATGTAAAACGGCACAGAGGCCCGATTCCCTCCTTCCAACTTGGCCTCCACGTATACTGCACCAAGAAAGTCCATCTTCTTATTCGATGCGTCCAACACAGGAGCAAGCTGGGATTTCTCAACCAGTTTTAATGCGTCCACGTCAAATCCTCTATCTCGCGCTTTAGCTAAAATCTCCACAGGTATTACACTGACCATTGAACCTGTGTCCAACAATGCTGGATTGTTACCTCCGAGCAGCCTTAGCTGCTTTACGATTCGACCACCTACTAGGTCTCTATTTCCACATTCTTTCTTTACTGTCATCTCCAGATTGCGAGCTTGTCTGATGATTTCTGACACAGTCATCTCACCTTTAAGCTGGTTCACCCTTGCTGATAGTTGCGGACAATCTTTAGCTATATGGCCAAACTTAGAGCATCTGTAACACTTTCTGTTTTCAACGCTCTCTTGCAAGGATCCCTGCTGGCTACGCTTACTTTGCCTTGTCCTGCATGTGAAGCTCTGCGCTGCTACTTGTACCTGCTTGATAGTCGCTCTGCCAATAATTTTCCCTTATTTGAGGACTCTCTCCTTCCAGGTAATCCAGCTCATTGTTGGAATACTTGGCTCTCTGTGATTTACCTATACCACCGTGGTCGCGGTACTGCGCAGCTCTACTTTTCCAATGGCTTACACCCGTTCGCCTACCTCCACCAAACATAATTTTGGACTGCTCTATACTCAACGCCAACTGCTTGATTTCCTCGTATGCTCTGCGAGGATCCACTCTGTGCAAAGCTCCCACCAATTGGAAGTGTTCGGGCCAATCACTGAGGTTATCTAGGAGGATCTGCGCGTATTCCAACGAGCGATCCTCAATAGTACAGTCCGGGTTGGCCTGTTTTCCCAGTTTTTCCAAAAGAATACAGAATTCGGCCACCTCCTGGTCGGGCCCCATTTTCAGGCTCCTCAGTTCTGTGAGGGCTCTTAACCTTCCTGCTGTCGACTTCTGCGACAGAAGCCTGGCCATCTTCTCCAATGACAAAATCCAGACCCCGTTCCTTTGTCCTCTGAGGAAGGGCAGTGAACACGCTCTTTGCTCGACCCCCTAGGTGATCGTCACCCAGGATTTCTATCAGGGTGGCCTCGCACCCTATGACCATCTCATATTTTCTTTTGAATCGTCTCACGAACTCTTCAAAGTTCTCATTTCTAGCACCACTGAAGACCCCAGGGTCTGCGCACGCCATTGACCTAGGTACGTCAGTAAGTTCTGAGATACTGACGCATCTCTATCATCCCGTGCCGGCAAGGTCGAAACCGGCGACTGAGAACATAGCCAGGTATCGCCATACCCCTCTTTTGTCGAGGGCCCTGTCGCCACTGGACGCCTTGTCCTTCGCCTAACACTGCGCTTGGTTGGCCCAACGTGTTCTCGGCCCTCATCAACTCTTCTTTACTCCTCCACTGTCTCTGAAGAGCAGCTATTTCGCCCTTAACGTGGACCACATCTGTCCTCAGCATGTCACAGATATCTGCCATTGTTTCCCCATCTTGCTCCATAGTTCTTAAATATTCTCTCCAATCGTCAGCACACTCGATCCCTCTTTGACTCAAAGTTGCCGCAATTTCTTTCTCCAAAAGCAGAGGCAATGATTTTCCTCCTTGACTTTTGCCCCATAATTCTCCTACTTCTTCAATAACTCTCGTCCATATGCCTTCCACCTCTGTCTTGGCCTGATTCGAAATTCTTGACTTCCCAAGAACCTCGCTGGCTTTCCGCTGGGCCTCACGTAGAATTCGGAGACTAATATCCCACTCATGCTCCCCTTCTCCACCTTGGTTCCTTCGATCTATGGTACTTGCTTCAAGGGGCACTTGGTTCTCGTCCCCCACTCCTTCGACCTCCATGGTCTGGATCTCCTGAGGTTTCTTATTCTGGGGTGTTTCCTACCTCCACACCCTTTCAAATCTCTGCCGCCCCTCCTTCTTTCGGGGTCGATCTCGTGATCACCTTCCTTTCCGAACTCTGCACTTGTCTCTCTTGCTCAGTTTTGGTTACTCGTTTTGTCGCAGTTGGTTCGGCCCCCATGTAGTGTAGGATGGATTCGTGGCTGCGACGTGGGAGTAACCCTTTCAAACTGCGCTAGAGACAAGTAGAAAGGAAGGTTTATTTAGATCAAAAAAATCAACAATAAATACACAAAC